CATACATACATACATACATACATACATACATACATACATACATACATACATACATACATACATACATACATACATACATACATACATACATACATTTATTTATTTATTTATTTAATTTGGTGGTGGGAATGGCTAAGTGCATGCTAAACTCTGCTAGGCACCATCTCATCCCCTCTTCCAATAGCCAGTGGAACAGCACTCTTGTACATGGACTATCAGACTGCGTGGCTGACAACAAAATATAGACAACCTAAGCAATCCTTGGAGCAATGATATACGGAGCCTGTCCTACCATTAGGTATTGCAAGGAACCGTCCTCAGGGAAAAGATCTGGGGTGTCATAAAAGGTCATCACATATTTATTTATTTATTTATTTATTTATTTGGCCAAGGATAGGGAAAAAAAGCTGCCTCGGGTGTCAAAATAACTTGGGTAGTTTCATTTTAAGAAGGAAGGGGCTCCCATTTCTTGCTCTGTCTGAGGCAGGAACACAGCTTGTGTCAACTGTGATGGCACACCTGTGACACAGAGGTATTTGGATACAGTCATGTGGCTAATTTAAAATGTTAAAAATATTAAGAGTTTGCTAAAAACAACTAATGCATTAAAAAGAGCCTGAACAAAAAAGGAGAAAAGTCTTTGCCTCCAGCTTTGATGACAGGCGAAAGATTAAATAAGAGGTTTCACATAATATCACAGAACCAAAGATGGATCTCCAACATTTACAATTTTCCATTCTGAAAGGCGATGCACATGAGAAAGCATGACTCCTTAAAAGATCAGGCATTGCTTACGCTAAATTCTCTCCTCAGAGCTAAACTACATCATATGTTAAATGTCCACTGTGAAATTTAGGGTCTCTTTCTTTCATACTCGCAAAGAGGCTCATGCTGCCCCAATCCAGCCTGGACCCACAGCAGGCAGGCAGGAAGGCTCCTACACACATCATTTCTTCCAAGACTCATTAAACCCCGACCAATGCAAGGTTTAAGGGGGAAAGCGCAACCAGATACACCTTCTACTGTATATGCAGTCATCTTATATTTCACCACCTAATCTTACTCGTCATTAACCTTCTTGTTTGAAGTACTGAATGGTAATGAGGAAAACAGTACGCTTATAATAACTATTTCTTTCAAAGAAAACAATTGTTTAAATACCATGTACATCCCCTCCCTGCTGGTTTAATTTATTCTGCTTGACCTGAGCTAGCTTCTGAATTGACCACAACATTTCTCTAAAATACTGCTGTGTTCGTTAGGATTTTATTTTCACAATGAATACGGTGCCTCCTGTAGATGTTTATTCTAAAAGGTATTAATTATGACTATTAGAAAGAGGGTTTAAATGATGATGTGTACTTTCATCTGCTATGAA